TTAATGAGGCTTTAGAGGCAAGGTTCCTGATGGGCTGGTTAAAAAAGGTTGTATAGAAACCGGGGACTGTGTACACATCAAAATAATTTCAGCTCCATTTAAAAAACCATTTAGTTCAAGTGTGACATAGATGAACCATTATGCATTTGTGGAAACCAATTTTTTGTGATCTACGATTAAGCTAACCTTTCAGAGAGGAGTAAAGTGTGATGGTTATCATGTTTTAAAAGCATTGCCAGGCCGCTGAAACAATTTCAAAGTATGACTTTTTCCAACGGTTTATGTGTAAAAATGAGTTTTAGGAGCGCTGAACCTAGCACCTGTGTTGTTTGCCTGAGCCACCCTTGGTTTTGGCCATGGCATCCTCGGACGGATTTTGCAAAGGGATTTAGTGCTAGGCTGAACATGCCAGCCTGGGAGGGAGAGTGAACTCTGCTTGCAAAAATGAGCAGGTCTTTTGGGTGAAAGACCTAAAACAGTTGCAATCTGTTGAAATTTTTACAACTGTTGAGGACAATAATTATTCAGGAGTTAGTCTTTACAGTTCAATTCAAAGTGGGCATTTTGACCTTTCACGGGTCAAATCCTGGTGATGAGCTGAGGTTTTCATTATGCCTGACAGACAGGTTTTTTAATTTGAGTGGCTTGTAAGATAAAGTATAGGTGTTGTTGGATACTTGGTTAGATAGAATGTTGAGGAAGTGGAAATATACTAATGCTCTGAGCATTGTACTAAAATGTCTGGGGGCAAAGGTATTTTATGGAGAGATTTTCCCAACGGGCTTCACGGGAATACACATGTAATGATCACCAGTCACTCTGCTTCAATGGAGAGTATTTCGGGTATGACAATGACATGTGGTTTATCAAATCTTGCCTTCCAAAAAAGAAACTGTGCCTCCAAAATTGGCCATTATAAAGGGTGCTCACAGAAGCAATGCCAAAGAGTCTAGGATAAATTCAAATCCCTGACTGTATCTCCTCTCCTTGCCTCGTTGCACGTGCCAGAAAGGTTTCTGGGAACTTTATTGCATCCCTAAGGTGAGAAGACCAATAGGCCAGACTGTGAGGTCCTTCTCATGGGCAGAGAAAAAGAGCCCCATTTGTTCATAAACTTCTTAAGGATGAGATATGCATGCTGTCGTTACTGTGAGCATAGGAAGGGAGTAGCATTGCATACAGTCTGTGGAAGTGGGTTAGGACAAGATAAAACCTGGGAAATAACTGCAGAGAGGTGCTGGTAAGAAAACTGACGCTGCCGTTGGCAGATACCACCTATCAAGACATGCCACGATGTGTCCAGCATGGACAAGCAATGAGGTGTAGGCCAAGGAGATGTCGTAGGGGAATGGGTTAAGCTCAAATGGATCTGGCTCTCTCACATACTAGTTGCATGGCTCTGAGCAAGTCACTATGAAATGTATCTTAGCTTTAGCTTCTCTTCTATAAAATGGGGTTAGTGATAGGACTTTCCTAATGCAGTTTGGATAAAAGGGGCTGGTTTCCATGAATCACTTACCACAGGTCCAGTTACATGGTAAGTCAATGTGAGCTGTGAAGACTATTAGTAATTATTAGTAATAGCAGCAAGCAAGCATTCTATCATAAAGGTAAAATTATCATAGACTTCAGTTTTAAATTCCACTCTGCTCATTCCTGGCTAGGTAACTTTGAACAAATCTATCCCTCAGATTCTGCATGTTTCACACCAAGATTCCAACAGCATCTGTATCTGAGGATGTCTCAAGGATTGAATGAGTTAATATAAGGAAAGTGCTTAGAAGAGTGTCTGGCCCGTGGTAGTTATTAAGGTGTTGGCTTTGAGTATAAGGTCAGCACATAAGGATGGTTAGGATCTTTCAGTATGACTGCAAAAGAGCTGGGAGTAAGAACTAAGGTTTATTCATTGGGGGAGGGGTGATTACCTGAAGAAGGGGGACTGTGGCAGTGGAGATGACAGAGGAGGATTTAGTGGGGTAGTCTTCACTTGGAAGGTGAGAAGGAGTGACCTGGTGTTCTGTCTGAGGAGATCAGGGCTGCTACCCTCCTGTGGTACCTGTGTCTTTGAAATGCCGGCTTTCACTCCAAAGACCCCTACCCCACCTGCAAATCATCTCCATCTTTCACTGTTACTGTCATCACTGAGATTGAAGGGTCCAAAATAAGGGTCAGCATTTCCTCCAGCCACATACAATCCCAGAATATTAAGCAATGGTGGAGAAGGTCCCAGATCTGGGCCAACGTAACGGCTGGGGACCCAGAAGCAGAGAAACAAGACTGCATTGTGAAAATTGAGTCTCTTCGTCGGCTCTGTGGGTTGTCAGTGCTATGGGATTTAGCCTTTTCACATAACTGCTCCCTAGAGGAGAATGCATTAAAGGGGAGACGATGGATCAGCAAAGACATTTGGAATAATTGGCCCTCTTCTCACTGTACCACAAGCCGAGGTTTAGTGAGAAAGGGATTGAAAGGAAAAGATTCCATCTGGATAGAGAAAACAGTTGAGGACAGTAACAGCTAACGAGGAGCTCAGCCTTCAGAAGGTAATGCTGTGTGGCTTCACATCTCACACTTCTGAGCGGCAGCCTGGCATTTGCCTTCTGTCCCGTAGACCCCTGGACTCCCAGCGGGCCCCCACGCATGCTACCTCCTTTCCTCTCCATGGGCAAATTGTGGCTATTTTATAGAAATGAAAATCACTTGTACCAGAATGACAGCAGTTTTTGTTTATGAAAACTATCTCACTTCTTTGCAATTGTTCACTATGATTGCATTTGCCTCCATTAACAGACAGCCTAATGCTGCCATTCATTGGGCAGAACCAACTTCCCCCTCCTGGGCCTCAACACCTGGAGGGCAGCATTTGCACACTTCCCTTTCAGGTGACAGGTGGCAGGTGGCAGAGATAATCCCTATCACTTCCCTCTGCAATGAATGTGCAACCTCCTGCTGGAAGACATGCAACCAGGACAGTGACAGGTGCCCACAGCTACTTCTTTCTCATGTTATGACAAAGCAGGGATGGGCTGAAAGAAGCTGACCGAGACATTGATTTTGCCCTGTCTTGAGTTCCACAGGCCCTGAAGTTTCTGTACTCTCCTCTTTCTCCTTCAGGAGCCTGTTGCTATAGGAACCTGGCAGGTTGATTTAATTGTCTCTATTGGGATGCAAACACCTTTCAGCTTTTCCCCTGCTGAGAAAGATCCAGTCAAAAGGTTTTTCTGGTCACCTGGGACCTTGACAACACTGGCAGGAGGCACAGTCAGTCTCTCTGCTCACTGAGCTACAGGACAGTTGTTCCCCTTTCTCAGAAGCTGTAAACCCAGCTCTGGACAGAGCCAACAGAAGAGCAGCATCGTGAAGCACCTACAGGCATTTGTTGTATTTTTGTAAAGATAAGCCAAGGGTGTAGAGATACTTTATAAATTGATGAAAGAAATAAAAATATTTAGGGTTGATTTATTTCAAAGTATGTATTGAGCCCCTGTTGTGAGCAAAGTTCTGGGTCACAACCTTTAGTATTTATAACATAATCTGAAACTTTTCCTAACTGTGGGATAAATCTAAATATACGTACAGGGGTCCAGCTTTCTCACTGGCTATTTGAAGTGGCTTCAGGAAGGACCCTGAATGGCAGTCATTAGGGATGATGATGACTTCATTACCATCAGTGGTTTGAGGCGAAGGAGGTTTGAGCCTCCTGGTCTATTCACTTTTTAAGGTTTACCACTTTTGAAGCCTGAAGAAAATTGGACTGAATGGCTTAAAAATAATTTCTTTTCTAGACTGTTGCCAAGAATTGAGTTTCTAGCTGTTGTTTTAAAATGCACATATGTTGTCTTCAAATAACTCTTTTACTTTCTATCCTTACCTACTGGTTTCTTTTTTTGGTGGGGAGAGGAAAAGAGGAAAGACATAAAATTTGTATGCGCCCCCCCCCCCCCCCCCCGCCAGGACAACCTGAAAGAGGAAGGGGAAGTTGGACTTCACACAGAAAACAATGAAATAGACTTTTGTTCTACTGAAGAAAGTATAATATAGTAGTTTTGGCTAATAAAATAGAAGTAATAATAATACCTCTTTCATCATTGAATATATCATTACCCAAGTATAGTCAACTCTCAATCCCCAAACTTCAGGAAAAAATCCCAACATTTCATCTCATGTCACAGTCTGGTCCCACTCCATTCCCATCACAATATCATCTCATCAGAGCTGCTAACAGATTGTATATAAAACGCATTTTGGATTTACTTCTCTCTATCTGCCCAATCTCTGGTTGGGATTTCACAGGTGGCAGGAGAGACCTGGGTAAGAGAGACTTAATTCTTAGCCCCCAGATAACTGGGTATGAGCTACTGAGTTGATACACAGAGCTGAAAAGTTTTAATTTGGGGTCATACTGATCAAATATAAAGGAGACCCATTCTTTTAATAATAACCCTCCTGATTTCAATAGAAAGGAGGGTAAAATATTGAAAAGCAGGTTTGCCAAATCGAATAGCTGCAAATATTTTCCAGAAAAGTTTATCACCTGGTGTCATCACTTGATTTAGTAGGTCTTGCCAAGATAAACACAGAGATGTGGACAGACTGATGGGGGACTCAGTTGGGGTTCTGGTAATGGGGGGAGGAGTGGAGGAAGCTGGGTATCTTGATGGGAAAATGCTTTTGAACTTGGAGCAAGGTACCAAGGTGGGCAGGGAGGCCACGTGCAGACTGAAAGGCAAGCCAGATGGAGAGAAGTCACCCCCCAATTACCCAACCCCAAACCCGAGAACACCAAAACAAACTCTAAGGGATCTAGCAGTAGCAGCAGCACAGCCTCATCGCGCTGAGCAATTTAGAAAGTGGAGGAAGGAGGAGAAGGAAGGGGGAAGGAGGGGGAATGGGGTGGGAAAAAAAGCAAAACAAAAGAAATAAAACCACAAACAGAACAATATAAATAAAAACAAACAAACCAATAACAGAATAAAATTTGTAACTCCTTTTTTTTTAATTTCACAAAAGTTTTCACAAGGACAACGTTATAGAAGAAAACCCCCAGCAGTGGCTAGGTCATGCAGAACCATTAATTGTCATACCTTGGCCCATTCTATTCATCCTTGTTGCACTTTAGAGAGAGAAGTAAGCTATGTGAGTTTTACAATGCTTTTAAACTGTCATATTTCCTGTTGAGCACTTTAACTGGCACATTCTTATAGTTATAAATGTTCTGAGGGCATAACTTTATAACCTCCTTTGCAAAGAATGCATGAAGAGCTCTTCATGGTCCAAAACTAGGGATGTGTGTGTGCATATACATATATATATATATATACACACACATACACATGTATACAAGTAAATGTATATGTGTGTATATAGAGAGAGATAGTTATATAGTTATATATAAAAAGATAGTTATACATAATATATAAATCAATATATAGGGACAAAAATAATCTGAAAAGAACTTCTACTCATAGGGCTTTTTAGTGTACATGTATACAGTTATTCCCCACCCCTTCACTGGTTTGAATACTGCAGGCCATGTCTTTGGTGCGGGCGCAGAGGTTCTGATTAAGCCTCACCGTTTTGTCAGTAAAAGTGCTTGTCAATTCACACAGCAAGCAAATCTTCAAAACTGTCATGCTTGGGGGGGGGGGGCGGGACAGGGGGTCCAAAATCTAAACCCAAACCATTCACCATAAAAACACCTTTTTAGAGATGCTACAGCTGTGACATTTTCCTCCTCCCTTCCACCCCTGGTCTGTTGGATGGAATTTTTAAAGTAAACATTTCAAATATGCATATACCAGCTCAGGGCTAGTCCATTTATATAAGAATTTGGTTAAGGTGGAATGGGCCTATTTTTAACAACTACTATACTGTCTAAAGCATGATTTGCATGCATAAAACATCTGACCATTGTATACTGAAAAAAGGATATTTTTCTACCTTCCCTCTCATGCTCACTAACTGATAAAAAGAAAAAAAACAAAAAAATTATACCAAAATATGTTTGGCTCACTGTTATACTCTCTCCTCTTTCCCATCACAAAATGACAAGGAGCGACTCCCTAGGACTGTCCTCTACCTGCCTAAGTGAACTGGCTGTGATACAAGAATTGATGAGGAGGGATTCTCCCACCAGCTTTCTGTTTGGGGACCAACAGTTTAAGGTGGTAGCTGGCTTCTGTCTTTGTTGGGTTAACTATGGCTTGATCCCCCCACATTCTGATCAATTTATCATGTCAGCTCCTAAAAACAAAAGAGGCTCTGCTGCTGGGTTTATCTTCCTCTCACTGCACCATGGCCCAGCCCTTGCTCCTCCCTGTCATGGGGGCCCTAGCTAATCAAACAGAGGGGAGTAAAAAGGTCCCCTGAGAATGTGTGGAAAAATACTTGCTCTTTCCTGAGCATTATTTATTCTGTACATAAGGTAAGTAATTCACCTTTTAAAAGATGTAAAAGTCCCAGGAAGGCAGTTTTTAACGACTTACATCTGATATTTATGATACATATGGCTTTTCATCCCAAATGTCAAAAGTGAAAGAAAAAAAATAGCTATTCATATGGCAGCATAAGGAGACAGAATAACAATTTAATATGCAATCAAACCTCTTTGCTCTTAAATTAAATGACTAGAATTTGATATATCCATGAATGGAATACTATTTTTTCTCCCACAGTAAGGGTAGAAATGTTCCCCTAAACTCCCAAAGGAAGCCAGCTCTGGGACTATAGCCCTTGGTTAGCAGCTAAAAAAAAAACCTCGGTTGTTCTCTTACAGCCGAACAGGTGTTGAATCATCATCTATACAAATGGCAAAAGCTTTCAATAGCTTCGTGATCCTTCAGCCCAGAGAGCGGGAACATTTGATATGTTTTTGTTCCTTTTTGGTTCTTTGTTTCAAATAAACATGTGTATATATTACTGTGTGTATATAAAAAAGAAAGAAAAACAACAACAAAATCAAAACCCGAAGCACCCTGATAATCCTGAAAAATCAGAATGAACTTTTCTCCTACATCAACTAAATTAACGAGGTCAGCTTGCTTTGCCTAACTGATGTGGGTCACGAGCCTCTGCTAATCTGCAACCTCATTCCCACAGTGAGCTATTTATGTCCGGAGCATGCCTTTGGGTTACTTTCCCCCTATAATCATAAATAACTTTTGGTCCTTCTGCTTAGTTGCTGTTGTGCTCAAGGGTTTTATGGTGGTGAAATAAAAATGACAACCACATGCACACTATCATACATATGCAAATATGTGTAAAAAAGGGGGGACTACAGGGGAAAACAGGGAAAGTTACTGTTGGAAACACCCACTGGGAAATGAGTGGCAGATACAGTTTCACACATGGTGGCAGTGGATACACATATCAGAGACGCTCTTCCTGCACGTACTTCTGTTTGTCTCGGGACTCCCGGGACTTGGGCCGGTTCGGACGGTTTGCTGTGGATGGGATGGAGTGAACAGAGGAGCTCTTCTTGCTGGAGGACTGGGACGAGTGGGAGGAATGGGAGAGGCTGGCCCGGGACTGGCCGGCGTTGTGGTCAAACTGCATTAAGCAGAAGATCAGGTCCGTCGGCACGAGCTCAAATTCGTATGGGGGGTTGGTGATGACATACCTGGAGGGGGACAATGAAGAGGTCACAGAATGAGGATGGCCGTGCAGAAGTTTCACCTCTCTCTGAATCAAAAGGAACTTGTGTGTTCCTCAGGTCTACTAGAAGATCTGGAAGGTGGACATACCATGCTGGGCCATGGTGTTAAGAATTACTTTGCAAGTTGAATGAAATCTTCTTCCATTTAGTTCAACAGAGGAGACCAGCCATGAGCCCTGACATCCCAGATGCTGATCAGTGCCAGGTAATGGGAAAACCAAACTGTTGTCTATGATCTACATGACCCTTTCAATACAATGTCAAGTTCAGTTCTGATCCTGAGTAGCCCAGTGCATGCAGGGTTTCATGGACTGCGCTGTGTTGTCTTTCATTCTAGAATGCTCTGACAATCCTACACATACACCACAAGATCTTTGTTTACCATAATCTAGCATCTTCTTAGTCCTTCCTCACTCTTTACCTTTTAAAACTCAACTTTGGTGGGGATTTTACTAATGGAAGAACATAAAACGACTTCTTGCTTATGAATTGGTCCTGCTTTAACTGTTCTCAATTTGATCAGGCTTTCTCTGATTAACAGACATGACTTAAAAAAAATCAGTTTCATCAACAGCAGTGGATCTCAGAAGTATGGTGCTTAGACCAGAGATCTCAGCATCACTGGAAACTTCTTAAAAATGCAAATTCTTAAGCAACCCTACACCAAAGGTATGGAATCAGATACTTTTGGCATGAGGTCCAGCAGTTTGTGTTTTAACAAGCTTTGTGGGTGACCCTCATGTTCACTAAACTTCAAGAACCCACTGGTCTACAGCAATTATTCTCAACTCTGACTATACACTGCGGTCTCTGCACATTAAAACATTTTATTTCCGTTCCAGACCAGTTGAGTCAGACTAACCAGGGTGTTTTGTAAAAGTACCCCCAGCAATTCTAATATTCAAGCAGGGTTGAGAAACACTCAACTCTGTAGCATTATTACCTGGGGTATATGTACACACACTGACTTCAACGGTTCTAAGATGTACTATTAATTTGGGGCTGCTATGGATTTATCTTGATGCATATTAGCACAATACAACTAGCCAACATGAACTGTTATCATTTCTGCTTTAGGTGCCAATATATATTTTCTTAAATAAATATATTGAAGTAAATGAGTCAATTAAAAATGTATTAGGTAAAAATATAAGCATCTAAGATACAGCAAAGGAATCATATATCTTAAATACCAGCAATATGAAATATCTCTATATTAGGTACCAACAGAATTATCCCAGTAGCTGGAGTTTGGTGGAGATGCATGTATCCAAACATTTGTAATTAGGCGATAGAACTATCCTACAAAACTTGAATTCTTCCCACAATGTCTTTATATCTGCTACTAGTAATTAAAGAACGAAAGCTTCCTATAACTCAAAGTTGAACTGAATGTGAGCAGAGTAATTTGCATGTTGATAACATGTGTATGGGCCTCTGCCTTCACCGTGGGGGACAAAAGGGTCATTTACATCGCTGCATTTCAGTGGGAGAGCAGAATGGAAACATACCTCTTCGTGCATTGGCTGGGGGTGCTAAGGTGAGCATCTCTCAGCCGGTAAATTCCAAAACAAAGCATATTATACGTTTTCAGAGCTTTGCAGAACAGATCACCATAACAACCACCATCCTAGGAGATAACAAAAGGACAGAAAGAAACATCATTTTTATTGGCTTGGAAGTAGAGGTCCAGGAAGAAATGGGCCTTTTCCAAAGGCTTGTTTTGGTATCTCTTGAGCTGGAGGATCTGGAAAGGACTGTGGCTGAAAAAGTCAGTGTGGCTAACAGCCTCTGCCCAATAGTTTTTGGAATCAAATAATAATGAGGTTTCCCCCTGGTTCTCTCTAGCTTTCCATCTGTAGCAGTGAGAGCTCTGAGGAGACTGCACCTCTCCCTCACTTTAAGTGAAAGTGTAAAGCTTGAAGGTCTCAGATGCGCGTTCAGAAGAAACCGGCTCTGCAAAATGGTGCTTATGTTTAGCCCCAACTTGGCTGTAATCACTGTGATCCAACTGTGTTGTCAAAACTGCTTTGAGTGATAATTAAAATCACTGCAAGAAGAAAAGACCCCACCAGGTACTATGGTGACAGATTCTTTCAGGTAAGAACTGTGTGAAAAGCACAATTTACAGACCTCAAAGATGGCAAGAGCGGAAGAGAAAATGTTTTCCCAGGAGCTGGAGGTCTGCAGGCTGAATAATGAATTCACAGTTCTAATCAGTTCACCACCACCTTCCAAGGGTCTGGAGCCTGATGTGGAATGTGAAAGCAAATTCATTCACTTGGAAATGCTGAATTCAGGTAGGTGTTATAGGAAGGGCACTGAAGAAGGATTTCACTGGGAATAAAGTGACTGCATTTGTCTGTCCTATCTTTGGGATTTCCATGCAGGCATCATATTAGAGAATACAAGCAGAGCCAAATTTTACCATTGTTTCAAGTCTTGGTCCTTAAAATGATGTATTAAGTGATAGTTAAAAGAGCCGCTAGTTACAGGAGCTGACTTTCAAAAAAAAGTCCAGTCTAACAAATGTCTTTGCCCATAACCAAACTAAAATATGGAGCAAGTTATTATTACAGCTTCAGAAGAAGTGGAGAAAGTACCCCTTTCCTTGAGCAATATTATCATTTGTGCAATGGGTTTATTGGATCCTAAGACTTGTGGCTCCATCCCTTGAACTCATCCCTGGCGTAGGGCTGGGAATAAGGGTCAAGACTGCACACGTCTGCCAAAATGCTTGAATCAGGCTGCTGCATGGAATTCAAAGGGAGGCATTGGTCACCTCTGTGGCAGGGAGGCTTGGAGGAGAGTGACTAATTCCAGCCTCAGAAATTAAAAGACCTGGATCAGGAATGAGAGACATTAAAGGATCTGTACAAGATGTTATTGTTTGGCCAGTGGTAGTGGATGCAACACTTACTGGTGGTGTTTTGAAAACCACCAGTGCCTGGGTCCTGTCCAGACACAAAAACTCAGAAACTTGGGACTACACATGGCCATCAGTGAATTACAAAAGCTCCTCATGGGCCATCAATGTGCATTTGGGGTTAAGTAGAACCCCTGAGCAATGCTAAGACCCTGTAGAAAATGTTCCCAGATTTGACCGCATGTTGGAATCACTTGCTGTCTTCTATCTCTTGGTAGAAGATACCCAAGGGGAGTAAGCCACAGGCTCGGAAGCCAGGGCTCCTGGTGCAATTCCTGACAGAGCCGGTCTTCAGTCTCTCTGAGCCTCAGTTTCCTTAGAGTGTCTGAAAATAGAACCTACAGCAAAGGACTGCCATAGCATCAAAATGAATGATCATATGCAGAGCATGTACCTGATATACAGTAAGCTGTAAATACTAGTTGTTACAGTTATTTACTTCAGAAGGTAGAAAAAACAGATGCTTAGTTTGTCGTTGTCTGGCACCTAGTTCATTTGGACCAAACAGCAGGCTCAGGTGACCTCTGTGCAGTGCACTCACCCCCAAGTCTGCAAAGGGCCCATCCAGCAGTGCTAACTGGGCCACTCGGCAGCGGTCCCTATTGGCCAGCGTCTGGGGGGTGCTGTAACCCCCGCGAAGAGCATTCTCCTCGGCAATCAGAGCCTCGAGCTCCGGTGTGGCTCCTCCGGTCACCAGGGTCCGTATCAGGGTAAGGATATTGTCATTGAAGTATGTCTGGGAAGAGACAGAGAGAGAGATGGGGGGAGTCCTTTAAGCACACATCCTAAAGTCATGACAACCAACATCCAAATTACAACTTTTCTTGGTATTCCTGTTTAAAGTCCTGGTCTGTCTCTTCAAAAAAAATTGATGTGGGAAGTAAAAAGACAGCAGCCTCCAATTATTCCATTCTTTTCTCTCCTACTTGGTTTTGCCACAAGAGCCTGACTTTTAAAACCCATTTCAGAGGATTTTTATTAAAGGGCTAAAGTCCAAATTGCTGGTGTTTACCATAATTAATGTTACCCAGGATGTACATATTGCTTACATGTGTAATAAAATGTAGCCTTTCCAGGCTCCTGAGCCAGGCTGGGCCACCTCTGAGGCCCCGTCACCCATGTGCCTGGAAGCCACCTCCCCTCAATGGCAAAACTGTGCTTCATGAAAAGAGATGCCAAGGGCAGCATTAAGGCCACAGGCTCCACAACTTATCACACAGGCTTTTATACTGTCCCACCCAGAAGTCAATTACATATGCCAGAGAAATTTATGATGAGGTGCACATTCTGGTGTGCACACTTTGGGTTTTGTTTTTTATATAACCTCAGGAGTCTGAGGCAAACCTAGCTTATTAGGGAAGCTTCCTCTATGTGTATATTTGTCTCACACCTGACATATAACAGGTCTGATAAGAGTAAAATAATGGGAGTTTAAAAAAAATTAATAGGATGTCCAGTGAAAGAGCTCAAGAAGACATCTGTAACCCAGCCTAACTTGGAAAAAATCTCAGTTAAGGGTCTGCATTCTGTTCTCCCATGTAAGAAGAAATCAAACAAGCTAAAATCCAACCAAATATTGCCTGTGGCTTTTGAGGATGTATGGACCTTTGGGAGCAGGTTAGCAAAAACAGCATCATTTTTACTTCAGCAGTTTCTAAGACAGTTTAGCTGGCTAAATTGAGTGGGGAACAAATCAGGTAAGGTTAGGTTCTCATCTTGCTTGGACATTGCTATTCTATGTCTTGGGGAAGTTGCCTCATCACTCTGGCCTTTGATTTTTTTGTCAGTAAACTCAGCACAGTCATTAAGATCAAGTTTATATGCAAAGAATTCCATGATAACTTCCCAGTTCATATGAGAGCTAGTGGGGCAGAGTTCATTTCCTCATTAAAATATTCAAAAAATACTTAAGTGATACAGAATTCTAAGAGCAAGGAAACTACAAGTGTTATTCAGAGCCAGTATGACCATAAGACAGCGTATATGTACTCTACCAGAGCACAGCTATGCAGGGCAGAGGCAGAACAAGGACAAGTAGAGGAAATGTTGCTGGTGTGTGTGTGTGTGTGTGCGTGTACACATAATGGTATGTATTTATATCTATTATCTGACTGGGTAGATAGATAGATAGATGATAGATATAGAGTAGTTAAAGGACAAGGTTCAGGCTGTGGGTTTAATGCTGCTCTCACACTTAGTAGCTGCATGACCTTAGAAAGTTATTATCACTTTTCTGTCTCAATTTCATGACCTGTGAAGTGCACTAATACAGTGGTTATAAGGACTGTATAACTAATACATGTGAGGCACTTAGACAAGTTTGCACAGGAAGCACTGATAAACATTGTCGACCTAACATCAGAGACTTGGTCTTTTGATGATGACAGGAGCAGTCAGCTCATTCCCAACCTTCCCTTTATATAAATCTTTTACATTTTTTTAAATATTTTATTTATTTATCTTTAGAGGGGAAGGGACGGAGAGAGGGAGAGAAACATCAATGTATGGTTGCCTTTTGTGCGTCCCTGCTGGGAACCGGCCTGCAACCCAGGAATGTGCACTGACTGGGAATTGAACCGCAATCCTTTGGTTCCCAGGCCGGCACTCAATCCACTGAACTACACCAGCCAGGGCTTAAATCTTTTACATTTTTTGTGGGGAAGAGGGTGGAAAGCAAGGCCATTCATTTCATCCTTGAGTCTGCACCTGTCAGTCTGCCTCCAATCTAATGCCCCACTGAGACTCAGGAATGGCTCTGTGAGGGTCATGGGGGACCACCACATCCTGGGATGCGGCTGCAGCACTGAGGCAGGTCACCAGAGGCACTTTGCAGTAGGCTCCCGGCACATATACAAACATTCCCAAAGTTTTCCAAGGTAAATGCTCTTCCCCACCATCAGAGAGCTTATTATTAGAAGCTGGAGACCACTCCTGGGCCCCACAGCATATTAAATGAGTGAGCGCTGGACACAGAACTTTGGCAAGAGTCTGCATTGAAATCACCCCTCTAGATCAAGACCGATGGGGAAGTATAAGAGCACACAGGAAGGACAGCAGAACACCCAGGACTTCGTACACTGAAAAGCAGACCTCTCCCTGCTGAAATGTAGAGGGGTGAAAAGAAAGCCAAAGAGCCAATGTAAGCATTTTTCAAAAGAGTACCACAGTGTTTACAATGTAAAGGAAATCAGTCAAAATTAAAAGTTAAAGAAAAATTTATTTTGGAATCATAATACATTTTTTAAAAATATAGAGTATCTTTAACAAGTCAAAGATTAGATGATAAGAAAGCTTACTTTATAAAATTTATCTAATTGTTATGTACAATATTGAAATTAAAATGGATGTGGTAAGAAGTAGTTAAAAGAGTGCAATACCCTTCCATGACAAACACACTGAACAAACTGGGAACAGAAGGGCACTTCCTCAACCTGATACAGGGCACACACAAAAAACACGCAGCTAACATCAAATTTCTTGTTGAAACCCTGGATGCTTTCCCCTTGAGATCAGAAACAAGAGGGAAATACTGGCCTTCATCACTTCTATTTAATGTGGCACTGGAGGTTCCAGCCAGGCAAGAAGGAAATAAAAGACATCCATATCAGAAAGGAATACGTAAAACTGTCCCTGTTCTCTGAGAACATAATCTTAAATACACAGGGTGGGGCTAAAGTAGGTTCACAGTTGTGAATACTCAGAACACAGAATTAATAGAGCTATTATAATAATCTAATCTGCATGTCTTTTTTTATACAAACAACTGTAAACTTACTCCTTCCCCCCCACCTTGGATATAAATCCTAGGGAATCTGCTAAAATGCTATTATAGGTAATGAATAAATTCAGCAACTTTGCAAGATACAGAATCAATATACAAAAATCATTTGTGTATCTGTGTACCTTCAATGATAAAACAAGAATGAAATTAAGAAAACAACCCCAATTAGAAAAGTAATACAAAGAATAAAATATTCAGTAAGTATTAACCAAGGAGGTCCAAGACTGGTACTCAGAAAAGTACAATATTGTTGTAAATAATTGAAGAAGATATAAGTAAATGGAAAGGACTTAATATATTTACAATGGCAATATGCCTGAAAATGAACTAAATATTCAAGGCAATCTCTATCAAAATCTCAAAGACCATTTTTTGTAGAAATGGATAAGCTGATTCTAAAATTCATATAAAATTTCAAGTAACCACAAAGCTAAGACAATGTTGAAAAAAAAGGTGGAGGCCTCACATTCCTAATTTTAAAACACACTACAAAGTTACTTAATCAAGACAGTGTGATATTGGCATACGGTTAGCATCTGCATCATTGGAATAGAATTGAGAATCCAGAAATGAATTCATACCTTGTGGTCAACTGATTTTGAACCAGGGTACCAAGGCCATTCTGCAGAAAGATGGTAGCCTGTGAAACAAACAGTGCTACAACAACTGGTGCAGAAGAATAAAGCTGGATTTCGACCTCACACTATGTGCAAAAATTAACTCAGAATAGATCGCACACCTAAACATAACAGTCAAACTATAAGGCACTTAGAAAAAAACAGAAGAGTTAATCTTTATCACCTTTCATTTGGAAATGGATTCTTTGATATGACACCTAAAACACAAGCAAAAAAAAAAAAAAAACTCCAGATAAATTGAAATTCAAAATTAAAAGTAGGTCATGCATCTAAGGACACTCTCCAGAGGGTGAAAGGAAAACATACAGAATGAGAGAAAATATTCCTGAATCATACATCTGATTAGGGTCTAGTACCCAGAACATACTTTAAAAAATCTTCCAATTCAAGAACATGAAGACAAATCTCCTCCTTTTTTAAATGGACACAAACTTAAATAAGGATTTCTCAAAAAAAGATATGCAAATCATAAACGAACAAATGAAAAGATGCTCACCATCACTAGTCACTAGTCAAATTCAAATTAAAAACATGACATATCATTCCACACCCACTAGGCTGACTATAGTCAAAGAGACAGATGATATTAAGAGTTGGTGTGGCTGTGGAGAAACTGGAACACTAATGGACTGCTGCGGGGAATGTAACGTGATGCAGCCCTTTTGGAAAGCAGTCTGGAAATTACTCGTATGGTTAAACATAGAGTTACCATATAACCCACCAATTTCACCCCTCTACATATACCCAAGAGAAGCGAAAACATGCGTCCACATGAAACTTGTTCATGGATGTTTATATCCATCATCCATAATGGCCAAAAAGTGAAAATTATCCATCAATTAGTGAAAGCACCATCAAAGTATATGTCCACACATGAATATTATTTGGCCGTAAAAGGGGGTGAAATACTGATATATGCTTCAACACAGATGAACCTTGAAAACATTATGCTAAGTGAATGAAGTCAGTCTTATAATATCACTCCCCTTCTCCATATAATATATAGTATATGATTCCATTTATATAAAATATCCCAAAAGGCAAATGTATAGAGCTAGATAGTAGATTCATGGCTTAGAGTTGGGACAGGGGAGAGTGGGGGAGAGCTAAAGGGCATGGGCTTCTTTTTAAAGCAAAGAAAATGTTCTAAAATTGGCTGTGGTGATAGCTGTACATATCTGTGATTGTGGTAAAAGCCACTACATTGTGCATTTAAATGGGTGAAATGCATGATGTTAATTATATTTCAATGAAGATGTTAAAAAATAGTTAAAAGGTAACTAAACTTGTAATGGCCCAATATTTATCTGTTAACAA